TTTGGCAACGAATGTCCTTCATCGATCAGTGTCGCACGCCACCGGCACGTAGGCACAGCAGCAAAAGCAATGATATCCGTGATACGGACTACGATTGTACTGTCTGTCTGCGTAGATTCAAGCGCGCCAAGTCTTTTGCTTCGCACATGCTGAAGACACATCCGCCCACTGAATGTCCACCCTGTAGCGAGGCCTTCAACAATGCCGATGAGCTGGTGCGGCATTTGCTCTTCATACATCGCAAGGATACGGGCTGTCCACTTTGTCAGGATGGAGAAAAGNAGATGTTTCGAGATATCATCAATTATCGTCGTCACCGCTCCAAGTGCCGCAATATAAATCGATTCCGTTGTGAGCACTGCAGCTCGAAGTTCACCAGCACTATGGACTTTCGGCGTCACGCAAAAGCTAGCCACCAAGATGAGTGGCCATTCAAGTGTAATGATTGCGAAACCACCTTCAAGTATTTGGCGCCTTTGGCTAAGCATCGAAGACTACACAAGCGAATGAAGCGCCGATATTCGGCGTAGAAAAAAAAACTTAAGGTAACAAGAGGAATGCGTGCAAGTTCAGGACCAGCGCGATTTCTATTCGTTCATTTCGATATATCAAGTAATTGTTGTAAAAGGAAATTTTAAGTTGAATTAAAATTTCCCATCACTGAGAGGATAATGATGAGCTTAATTCTTCGCTAAGAAAAGGACAGTAACAAAAGTCTGTTTTTAATACACTTCCTTAGATTTCAGAGGTACATAGATGACTTTTTTGGAAGGTTCGTGAGGCAAGGATGGAATGTCCTGTTTTGAGGATCTTGAGAGAGCTATGGGATTGGGATCCAACTTCAACCCGATCTTCCTCCTAAACCTATAAATTGAAACTATAGTTCCTAAACCAACTGCGACCATCCAAGAATTTACCAATTTTCGCACAGGGAAAAGCAGATAATTATCAATTTTAGAGATATTTTCTGTATTTTTCTAAGGTATCTTAACTCGTTAACCAAACTTAACATTGCTTAATTCACAAATAACAATAATTTAACAAATAGAGTGGCAGATAGTCTATGTCAGCTCACTTTGGATTCAAAGCCAGCTTTTATCAATCTTTGCCTGCCTTCGCCGATGTAATATTTCACCCTTATCTTCAACGAGTTCAGCTTCATCATAGTCATTATCTATTTCCTCGCCAGTAGCGGCACTATTTTCAACACTTTCAAGAATTCCATCAATGATTTCGTCCCTGTCCTCGTCACTTTCAGTGCTTTCTCCGCTAAGAATTCTATCAATGATATCATCGCTATCCTCATCACTTTCAAAGTTTTCCCCGCTAAGAATTCCATATTCGTCACTTCCAATATCTTCGTCACTTCCAATATCATCATCATATTCATCACCTCCAATTTCTTCGTCATATTCGTCACTTCCAATATCTTCGTCATATTCGTCACTTTCGCCGCTATCCCCATATAAAATTTCATCAATCATCTCATCAATGATTTCTTCGAAACTGGGTTCTTTCGAAGATTTCTCGTTGCCTACAACGTCGGCAGCATCTCTCATGCGCACCACATTGCTGCGATCTCTCTGGGCTGAGCAGGGACCAGCGTGTAAGAAACGAATTGTTGGAACTTCTAGATATGAAAAATTTTTGTTAGAACTTGTCATGATTATGAATTCATTGACTTGAGTTAGAGGGACTAAATAGAGAATCCGCTAGAAGGAAGCAGAAGGCTACGAGGGACTTAATTGTGCTCTAAGAACTTTATAGTGTATTGGAGATTCTTAGGAGCCCACAAAATTTCTCCCGATTTTTCTAAACCCTCTACTAGAGGCTAGGGGGCCCCTAGCCTTCCACATCCTTCCCTTCCATTTCCATTCCATCCTTTACTTACTTCTTCCCATCGACTGTCGCAACAACTTTGAACATCTGATCTTATTGTTGAGCACACAAGGTGAGGACGCTGTCATTTGCTGTCCATCCACTAGCGAACATACTGGCCAGTACAAGCGTGGGCATATCTTTTCCTCGCAAAGTGGCTTCGGTGTAGTGGGCACAGGTAGTGTCACAGCTTCATCTTGCCGATCGACTAATATGCCTTCGGCCGTAACGAGAGCTGGGAGACTTACGGCGGCAAGGATCAGTATAGAGTAGATTGTACACATATTTTTATTCCCTGATTTACACTTAATAGAATTACAATGGATGTAGTTTC